GTTCAATGGAGTTCGTGATGCAAGTCATATTTTGTACAATGCTTTATTTAAGGAACACGAAGAGTTTGACTTTGAAATAAGTGGCAATTAAAGCAGAGGAGTATTTTCTTGTAACACCTTGTACCTTCAGCACACACATACATACATAGATGTACATACATCCATTCAAATGTATGTTCGCACATGCTATCGAACAAATTGTGACGTCATAAAAGTTCTTGTTATAAATAATTATTTATTAAACGAAATTGATGAATTAGCTGAGAAGTAAACAGTTTTCCATATATGTGTACATATGTCAATGCCCAATTCTCAAATTTCCCATAATAAACGCAAATTTTATAACCGCTTATAATAACTTGAGGCTAGATGGTAGATAACAGTAATATTTACAGCATTTGGCTGTTAAGTTAAACGTTGTAGATATGTGGATAGATTAAAAATAAATTAATAAATTAAAGTTAAATATTAGTCAAAATACGTACATATATGACTTATTGCTGGGTGAATGAAAAGGTTAAAAACGTTAAAAAAGTTTAGAAAAATCGAAACATGAATTCTACGATTCTCTCATAAGTATGTTCATACTGATCATAGACACAAAGAATTTAATATCGTAAGAGATGCTCGGCGTATGCTGTGTTTATGGAGTGAAAGCTTCCGCAACCTGCTGAATGGTAGCGAAAGCAAACAATCCCTGATCGATTATGATGAAACAGATTTTTAGTTTCTCGCATATGATGACGTGCGAACAGCGACTGTCATATTGAGAAATTAGAAACTGGTAGTGCTCTATGGCTTCCTATCACGACTGTTCCAATATGGCGGCAAAGAACTGCACAAATCAGTCTATTTGTCGAGTAAGGTCGGACGAAAGCAGGCACAATAATTGGACATTAAGTGTGCTCTATTCAATTCATGAAAAGGGACACCCCACACTTTCAAATAACGTGTATCAATCTTCTTAATATCGAGTATAAGCTTTAATCTGACGTATTATGTGAAAGATTTAAATAAAATGAAATTAAGTAAAACTAAATTAAAAAAAATTGAAAGAAAATAAAATGAATTTAACGAAATTAAAATTATTTTTTATGAAATGAAATCAGTTCAAATAAATCAAAGCAAAAAAAATTAATAAATAAAACAAAATTAAAATAATGTTAAATTAAGTTATATTTATAATTGACGCTTTGTAACCGCTGAAGCGATTTTTCGGCTGAACTCCTCCTCCAATTTGTCATGTGCGTCTTGATGTTTCCCCAACGAATGGAGAGACCTACAGTTTATACTAAGCCACATCCGAATGGCTGATGGTTTTCTTTCAAGGAGCCTTCATTTCATATCCGAAATACACTCGGAGTGGTGGAATCTCCCTGCCGAGGGGCGACCACAATTGGAAAATTTTATTTAATTTTATATTTAAATTAATTTTCTAGAACTTTTTGTTTGATGTTGGTGGCACCGGCACTGCTCTTTAAGTATATAAACTTAATTCAAAACCAAAAAAAATTAATTTGAATAAAATAAAATAAAATAAAATAAAAAACAAATTGAAATAAAGTATAACAAAATAAAACAAAGTAAAGTGTAAAAACTAAAATAAAAATAGAAAAGAATAAAATAGAATAAAATCAAATAAAATTAAAAAACTTTAAGCTGAATTAAATTAAACTAAAATAAAAAAATAAAATTTAAATAAAATTATTTCATTTTATTTTATTTAAATTTTACTTTTTTATTAAAATAAATTCAAATATGATAAAAAAAATGAAATAAAAAAATACTTAAAATCGCAATCAATAATTTAAAACGAAACTAAATTCATAAGGTAGTGTGTAATAAGCTTTACGGCCGTTAAATAAAAGTAAAAACTTTAGTTTTTTTTTTGCCTCCTACGCGTTTCGATTCAAATTTGGTTCTTCCTCGGCGAGTCTTAACATACATAAATATATTCTCAAAAATATGATATGAATTAATGTTAGGGGTCATAACATATCGACTGATGACTTTCAGTGCAATAACTACAATTAAATCAAATTAAACTAAAATAAAGTAAAATAAATTAAAAAAATAAATTAAAATAACATAAAATTGAATTGAATTAGCTTAAAATAAATAAAAAATTATAAAATAAAATAAAACTAATAAAAAAAAATAATATAAAAAACATGTGAAATAAAATAACATGAATCTAAATTAAATTAATTACTTAAATGAAATCAAAAATTTTAATTTAAAATGAAATAAAACAAATAAAATTAAATTAAAAAAGTAAAATAAAATAAAAATATCAAAAAAATAAAAATATAAAAGAAAATAACATTTAATTAAATTAACACTAACTAAATAAAAATTTTTATTATAAAACAAAATAAAACAAATAAAATAAAAAAAATTAAATAAAATAAAATTAAGTAAAATAAAATAAAAGATGAAATAAAATAAAAATATAAAATAATATAAAAATATAATTATTATATTTAGTTAAAATATGCGCCGTTTTGTTCGATGATCTGTTTCCATGTAGACGGCAACTTTATAATACCTTCCTCGTAGAAGGCCCCCTCCTTATTTGCGAAGAATTCGGACAGCCACTTTTCACAAGCCTCTTTTGAGTTCAACTTCACACCACCAAGGGCATTCGCCATGGACAGGAACAGGTGGTAATCACTTGGCGCTACGTCCGGGCTATATGGTGGATGCGATAAAACCTCCCATCCGAGCTCCCGTAGCTTCTGACGAGTCATCAACGAAGTGTGTGGTCTGGCGTTGTCCTGGTGGAACACTACACCCTTCCTGTTGGCCAATTCTGGACGCTTCTGGTCGATCGCCTGCTTCAAGCGGTCCAGTTGTTCGCAGTAGATGGTAGAATTAAGCGTCTGGCCATATGGGAGCAGCTCATAGTGGATGATTCCCTTCCAATCCCACCAAACACACAGCAAAACCTTCCTGGCCGTCAATCCCGGCTTGGCCACTGTTTGGGACGATTCACCGGCCTTCGACCACGACCGTTTTCGCTTGATATTGTCGTATGTGATCCATTTTTCGTCGCCAGTCACCATCCGCTTCAAGAATGGGTCGAGTTCGTTCCGTTTCAGCAGCATATCGCAGGCGTTGATTCGGTCCAGAAGGTTTTTTTGCGTCAAATTATGCGGCACCCAAACATCAAACTTTTTTTTGTATCCAGCCTTCTGCAGATGGTTCAAAATGGTTTGGTGACTAACTCCCATCTCCTGGGCGATGTCACGAGATGCCATATGCCGGTCTAACTCGATGTATTCCATGATTTGATCGGTATTTGTCGTCACAGGTCTTCCGCCGGCTGGCTTATCCATGGTGTCGTTTTCACCGGCTCTGAATCGTCGAAACCATTCCTCCGCGGTTCGAAGTGATAGAGTACCATCCCCCAAAACACCATTAATCTCACGGAACGTTTCTCTAGCGGATTTGCCTTTAACGAAGGAAAACTTTAAAATAGCGCGAATTTCGGCGTTAGTGAACTCCATGTTTACACGTCTATAACTGTTGAACGCAATATCCAAACTAATCATGCATAGCGTTGTTTTGTAGATTATGTCAAGACCTTTCAAATTATGTATAGTGTTGCCAGATACGAGCTCTGTAGCGCTTTGTACATAGCCGCGTAATTCAAAAGACAAAAAAGCGAAAGGGAGATATTTGACAACCTAGTATAATAACATAAAATAAGCCCATTTTCCTCTATTTCAAATGCAACAAACAATCAGACGCAGAATGGGTCCACCTACCAAGAAGGTAAGGAAAGCGTGGCATGGTTGACATTACGCCTCTACATCGAATGTGTTTATACTACCATCGGCTGTACTTCTAGGAGCAAAAAAATCAACTTCACAAAGTCGTATGTCAGATACGACTACACTTGAACTACAGTGAAACATTTTCACCAAAAAATAAAAAATAAAATAAAAAAAATGGCAATTTTTTAATTTTCAATTTTTATTATTTATAAATATTTTAAATAACAATGAATATTTTTGGTCGTTGTTCCAGCCACAGAGAGATATTTCAGGAGTAAAATGCCGTTTACTTCATGTTGGTAAATCCAATAGGTTCTAAATTAGAGTGTCACCCAGTTGAAAAAAGTGGTTGCGAGAAAAAGACGTTAAAGTGCTCAAGCGGACGGATTTAACGCTCTTCTCTCTTCTATACTTATTTCTTGGTCTTATGTACTTTCGGGACTAATTCTATATTATTTTTCAGAGTATTTTCCATCAATTTACGGGAAAAAAGTTAGATTTTTTGAAAATTTTTTAGAGAAACCTAGATTTAAATTTAAAGAGGTTTACTTTAGATCTATTTGACATATGACTTCGGGCAGTTGATTTTGTTGCTCACAGAAGTATAGCCGTCCCTGTCTTCTTGGTAGGTAAACGCGTTCATGAAATTTGGTACAGTAGTATATTCGGACCCAAATTACCATTGGGACTACTTTTTCTAGTGGACAGTGGCCTTGGGATTGATTCGTTGGTTCGGCTTTGCTTAATATGCAGAACATATGTAATACATAATAATTTATAAGCTAAAAAAAATTATATAACTAATAAATCTTAACAGAAAATTCTAAAATATAATTAAAAATAAAGCAAAAAAAAGAAAAGGAAAAGTTTAATTGATTAAAATTAAATACATTTTTTATAAAATCAATTTAAGTAAAATGAAGTGAAATATAATTAAAAATAAAAATAAAATTAATAGCACATTTTTTTTATTTTTACTTATTGCTATTTTGCATTTTATAAATTTTTTGTGTTTTTAAAAAAACTCATATGCATTTACGGGCTGGTAATAAATAGTAAAGAAATTGAAGTTTATTTCACGGCTTTCATGTGTATAATATTTTTAAAGCAATTACATTTTATTTTATTTTTATATATCAATTTTTCCATTTTATTTTTAACAATTTTTAAAAGTAATTTAATATTATTACGCTTAAGTTCGTTATTGAACTATAAACTTACCTTTAATGACATTTTCCGGCAATTTAAATGTTTTTGTGAATTTATCGTAAATAACCGTTACCTCCTTCAACTGCACACAGCTAATTTATATTCTTTATATTGTTGAAATAATTTGTCGCGAGCCAAATTAATTTTATTGTGTTTTTACTGCACGCCTGCAATATATGGATGTATGTATGTATGTATGATATTGGAAAAAAAAAGATTTATCACACCAAATATGAAATATGGGTAATCAAGTGTAGGCCATCAGCTTTGTAATTACCCTTCACTCGACTAATTCACTTTATGATTTTACACACTTTTTTAGAGCGTCTTAACTTATGTTGCACCTTTCGCCAGTGAACTCAAACAGCTGCTTTTGCTTATACATACACATGTGTATGGCTTATGAGGCTACATTCAGTTATCACTGCGAGATGTTGTTGTATCCTTACAAACTTTGGTCACAATACTTTTTATTTAATTTTTTATTATTTTTTTTATATTATTTTTTTATATTATTTTTTTTTTTCAAATATTTATTGTATATGAGTACATATATTTGCTTTTTTACACCACTGCACCTTTCGCATTTATATTTATGTACGTATTATGTAGTAGTAGTAGTAATGAGAACGGGGACATTCACTTGTCTGGCTGCGCCGGCTTTGCTGCAGCCATTCACTCATGCACTCGCTCCAACTCGCTGGCGGCGTCAGAGAACTGTAAAGAAGCAAAACAAAAAAAAAATTGAGAATTATTAAATATAAGAAAATGTATATATATATATATATATATACATTTAGAATATAACTGCAAAAGACGTATTTATCTTAAAATATGTGTATATACTTGTTCATACGTTGGTGTGTATTGGTGTTTGTTGGCAAAAATTATTATATCACCGCTAACAGGGGCAACAGGTTTGCAACAAAATAAGCACAAGCAATAACAAACAACAACTCAAATCAACCAACAAATGCAATGCAATCAATGCGCTTCAAATGCCGCGCAGCCAACGGAAAATGTGTATAGAATTGGAGCAGCGCAATAAGCGCGCACTTCAGTACAAACACATACATATGTATGTACGTACAAACATGCATACAGAGCTGCTCAAGCTACCATAGACAAGCCAAGTCACAACATTCCAGTTTTCTTAGCCTCATTTTGTGACTAAGCGGCTTTTGTACCCTTTCCACGTCTGCAGCTTCAACTTCATCATACTCGTCTTCTCATGCTTTTCTGCAGAGCTTACGGAAAATCACAACAACAATGCGCAACAACTAGTGCTAGAAATGGCAAGTACATACATATTTATATACATATGTACATATGTATATTGTAGATATGTATGTAGTTGCATTACATTGTTGGCAATCTCTATCATAGTGGAAAATATTTTGACTTAGACTAAATTGCATCGTGCGCCGGTAATTACCAGTGAAAAGCGATTAAGTACAGGCACAAGAGGAGGGCAAGCGTCAGACTGTAAACTTATGTACATACATACATATTTTCATACATATGCATGTATGTATATGCAAAGGTACAAATGTACTACATCAAAAAGACAAAAGTACTTAATCAAATAAATCATTTGTTTTTGTTTTTTTTTTCTTTCTTCTCAGTTTTTGCGAAACAAATTGCATTTCCTGTTACTTTCACCAATTCCTGTGGCGCCCTTCTGTCGCTTTGAACGCCTTTTGACAGCTGGATAATAGCTGTGTGTAGGTCGTTAGCCTCATTGCAGTACTAACTTAATAAATGTGTATATGTATGAAGGTATATCTGTATGTATGTTGCTGCATATTGCGATTAAGTTTATGAGTCATAACCCCACTAGTGATTGTACACAGCAAATTTGCAATTTGTATTAACCCTACTTAAAGCTAATTTCTCAAACTCATTCCCGATTTTAAGCTCAGTTTTGAACTAAAACACTTCATCGATTTTTCCAACTCAAACTTGAATCCTAATCTCAATCTTAATCCTAGCTTTAGCTCTAAATTTAATCCTAATTTTGATATCAATTTTAATTTCAATCTTTATCTCAAAGCGAAGCCTAATGAGTCTCACTCTAGCTCTAAAAGAGAAATCTCAAGCAAAGATTTAATATTGAATATTTAAATGAAGAATGGGTTTATGTGGTACAGAAACTATTCCTTTACATTTGATTCAAGCAAATCACGACTTCGAAGTATTATCTCGTTGGGCAACATACATCCTAGGCAAGGGGATCTAAAGTGAGAAGGCGAACTTTCAGTTATTGTGCCTAAGATTTGAGATTGACTTCATAAAAAATATGCTGCAATGTGGAATCCAAATATACTTTGGATGAGAACCGCCCTTGGATATCATGCAACGTTGCAATAGAACAGAAAACAAGAGCTTTCCGCTTTTGGAGACAGAAAATAAAAGAGTCAAAACTTTGTGAGCATAAAAACCGTAATAAGATGGCCGACAAAATAATGCTAGCAAAACTATATAAGAAAATGTGCCGACTTTAAGAAAGTTTCGAGACCGACCGAAGTATACTCATGTAGGAGTCAAGTATACCTATTTCTGACCTGGTTTCTGAGTTGGTGGAGGGAAAACTATTCCAGCTTACTGAATTGCAGAGAAAGTGGATCACCCAGCGAAGGTGAACTCAAATCCTCAATGGAAGATGATAAAAAAGAAGTTTCAGTAGCCGAATACGACGAAGTTGGAATAACGATTGCACACTTAAAACATTAAAACTAAAACGCGACGGGAGGTGATGGCTTTCCGGCCGAGCTATTGAAATATGGCGGCGAATTACTGACCAGTTGTAGGCTTATATTCTTTTGCACTTTATAGTCGAACGAAAGTGTGCTCTGCCCAAAACCAAAACTCCATAACAATTATCATGGTATGAGTCAACTCGTATAACGTATTTAGCCTATTGAAAGATTAAAGCCCACTGTAATTGTACTGATTGGACTTCTACTCCGCTATGTATGAAATTGGTTTCTTCAAAACGATTATGCAGTTGGGTAAACTGCCGGTCAATCATCTTAGAACCGGCATCAGAATAGGAAAATTCTCTCAGAGTTGTACGACACCAAACGGAATTTCAGGCGAGGTTACGCTGTATCGGATGAAAGTACAATATTTCGGAAGAGTGTCGGTAATATTAATTTCATCAACCCTGCTGTTAATTCTTTTTTCATCAAACTGGAAAAGAAAGCAAGGCAAATAGATCTAGTAGTGAACGGGTATAAGACGAAAATTCCTCTGTCATCAACCGAACATTTGAGCGCACTCGCCTCATGACTTGCACATCAGAAGGACTCTTACCAACAGCTTCTACTTTGTACTGAGTTTGCAATTGGAAAGTAAAATCTGCCCTAGACGAACTAAGAACAAACTCCACATTCCTGCTTTGCTAGATAATGGACTTATGAGGCGACACTGACGTAGTGCAGTGAATAAAGAAACAGCGACTACGCCGGCTAAGTCGCCCGGATGAATGACAGCATTCCACCTTTGATAGTATTGGATGAAGTACCCACAACACGAGGAAATCCGCCACTTCGTCGGGCATTAAGTTAACATTTCAAAGTAAATATTCTTACTGCAAAGCAAAGGGAGTTTAAATAACAATCTATACTTATATATATCTATACTATCTATACTTTGTTAATGTGTGTAAATCCATTTTTTTAGTCAAAATCACTTTCCCGTTTGTTAAATATCTTATTTTAATTCTCAAACTTAATTCAGCTTTTTAATTTTAAATTTTAATTCCTTTTAATTCCAGCTTTAATTTAAATTTTAATTTAAGTGTTAATTTAATTTTAATTCCAATTTTAATTTTAATTTTGATTTCATTTTAATTTTAAATATAATTATTAAAATTATTTTAATTTTATTTTAATTTTAATTGTGTTTTTAATTTCAATTTCATATTTTTATTTTAATTGTTATTTAAAATTTAATTTTGCTTTAATTTTAGTTTTGAGTATGGTTTTTAAAATTAATTTGAATGTTAACTTAATTTGTAATTTTAATTCTAGTTTCAATTTTACTTTTAATATCTGTTTTATTTAAAATTTAATTAATTTGAATTTTAATTTTAGCTTTAACTTGAATTATAATTTTAATTATTTAAATTTTAGTTAAATTTTATTTTAATTGTATTTTTATTTAATTTTAATTTAATTTCAATTTTTAATTTTTAAAATTTTTTTAAATTAATTGTAATTATATTTATTTTTATTTATTTTTAATTATATTTCATTTTTTCATTTCAAATTTTATTTTTATTTTATTTGTAATTTTAATTTTATATTTGCTTTTAATTTTAATTTGGAATTTACTCTTAATTTAATTTTAATTTAACTCCTGAAAGTAATTTTAATATTATTTCAATTTGAATTTAAATTAAATTTTTAACTTTAAATTAATTTAATTTTTTTAGTTGAAATTTACTTTAATTTTTATTTTATTTTAAATTTGATTTCAATTTAAATATTAATTTTAATATAATTTCAAAACTATTTTATTTATTTTAAATTTAAATTCTAAATTTTATTTTATTTTAATTTTTATTTTAAAATAATTTTTTTTCAATTTAAAATTTATATCAATTTGAAATTAATTTTTACATTTTAATATTATTTTTTATATAACTTTAATTTTAATTCAATTTTAATCTTATTTTAATTGGATTAAACTTTATTTTAGTTTTCATTTTGACTTATTCTTTAACTCGCCATTGAATTTTTACAATATTTTACAATAAAAAGTTTAAAAAAGATTTTTATTTAGCTTTAATTTTAATATAAGTTTATAATTTCATTTCATTTTTATTTTTATTTCAATTTAATTCCATTTTAATTTCATTTTAATTTTCTTTTAATTTTAATTTTTCTTTTTGTATTTTAATTTTATTTTAATTTGAATGAAAAATTTTCGTTTAATTTTAATTTTATTTTAATTTTAATTCAAACTTTTGTTTTTATTTAATTTAATTCTATTTTGATTTCTTTAATTTTGTTTTTACTTTAAATTTTTATTGTATTTTAATTTTATTTTAATTTCAATTAAAAGTTTTTGTTTAATTTTAATATTCTGTTTATTTTTATTTTAATTTTAATTTTGGTACTAATATTTCTTAGTTTTAAATATATTATTAATTTATTTTTATTTTTCATTTCAAATTTTTTTTATTTTATTTTTGATTTTAATATAATTTTTTATTGAACTTTTTTTTTAATTCAATTTTAATCTTATTTTTATTTGATATTAATTTTGAGTTAATTTTAACTTGAGCTGAAGCTAAAAAATTCCTATCGGGAGCTTGACACAAGCATTTGTAATTTATACGAACAACGTACTTACTTGTAGATATGTATGAATGTATTAGTATATCAAACTTTAAACACATCTGCAACATTTCAACTTTAATTACTTTGCTAATTCATTTGGTTAGCAGCATTTTGTTAATGCAAAAAGAAAAATTAAAATGAAAAAAATTTCTTTGTTCAAAACTTTTGTTTAATTCGATTTTTTT